TTAGAAAACTATTGAAATCCCTAAAGTTTCTCTATGTCCACAAGCAAATCACTCCTTAAATAGTAACATTGATTTACGACCAATCTTTCCTGAAATTATACTGATTTTCAATCATTATCAAACTTCACCAACACAAAGAGTAATCCAGTTGATCTGGATGTAGAGGCTTAACAAGAAACATTGGCGGAAGCAAAAAAGTCGGAAAAAAGGGGACTGTTCACTTAATAACGATCTGTTCACATTTGGCACTCAGTTCACTTACGAATGATTGTTCACATGTGTTCACAGTTGGCACTCAGTTCACTTCTGTTTACATTTTGCACCAATTCACTTGTTTCTCTTGTTCACTTGTGTTCATAAGCACATGAAGTCACATATTAATACAACATCTATAAAAGTTCTTGACACATAATCAAATCATGTGTGAATCTGGGTGACCTTAATCATTAACATTAATAAAGTCAAAACATAAACATTAGTCAGTTATGAAATGCAAAACATCAATTGATAAAACAATATAGAACTAATAAATAAATTGTTTGTTTCATAATATATGAAAAAAAAGAATGGGCGCATGTTCATGCATACAATGTTTATTCATGAACAAAAACTACTTACACTAATAACAACAAACACCATAAATGAATTACAATCTCCATCGTCATCAACAACATAAAATTGATGAAACCTTCATTCATTGAAATACAACACATGAATGAGAAATCCCCCGCTAATAACCGACAAATCATTAGCTTTACCATAATAAGAATACAATTGCTGGATGTTGTTAATGATGATAAACCATAACCGTTGTGAATTCATAAATGAACATATGACCACACTTGAATGGATTACCCATAACTCATATGAATACATCGACCCATAAGAAGACATTATTTTTTCCATAAAATAAAAACTTGAAATCATACACAAACCTTAACAATGCATTTCTTTTTATTGGATTTTTGAAAATCTGATATGCACGATTGGTTGCTTTCATTTTCAAAATTAAGATCTTCAATATCCTAGGCTCCGACCTCTTCAACCATCAGATGGGTGATTTCAATGAAAAATTGTTCTTTACCGCGATAATCCTCCATATCTTTCAAACAACCATAGACGAATAACTAATACGAATCATTTGGTTGACTGCGGTTGTGTTCATGATGATTACTCATCTTTATTGTTCTATGGCGATAACACTCATAAAGTTTAAAGAGATGACACAATAATCATCCCTAAAATCATGGAACTTGATATGTAACAACCCAATAAATTTATTGAAAGAAGAAAAAAAAAATTCCAAAGTTACTCCTATTTAATGAACCAACCGTGTGAACAAACAAGAAAGATACATTGTATTTGATTGGTCCAAAGGAGTTTGAGATTTAACACCAATCATTTTGTTAACAAATGATTGGGGCCCTATGTGTTTATATATATATATATATATATATATATATATATATATATATATGTGTGTGTGTGTGTGTGTCTAATCAAATAAGAACTAATTAGTTTGTGGTAAATGTGAATCTAACGTAAGCTAATCATTTAAGATGATTAATATTTTTTTTCTTAAAATTAAATAGAAGGGTAAATTAGTATTTTGTATTGGTTATTCAATTTAGTTTAATTAGTTTAATATTTCAATTTACTTTACTTATTTTAATTACTTTAATATTATATATAAATACACACACACATACGGACATACAAGGACCAAAATCCGGTAGCCTTCTCTGGCACCCACCACTTCGGTGACCTCCTATCTTGTCCGACCAAGACGCCGTCTCCGGTGATCGACCATTGAATACAACCTGTGAGTATCTCCAACAGCTAGCCCCATCTTCGTCCCTATGACCCCCTACTACACATCTCCCTTCCCCCCATCCCCGCTACTGACCACCATCTCCATCAACACTTCACTCGATCTCAACCTCCAGCACTCCTCCATCTGGCAGCACCCACTATCCGGGAAAATCCTCCATTCCGGTGGTTATCTCTGCCTCAACCTTCTTCTCCAACCCAACCTCCAGATTTTCAATATACATACACACTACACACATACACATTGCACGCACGCACGCGCGCACACACACACACACATTGCAAACATATACAACACATATTGTGTACACACACATACATATATATATATATACAACGTAGGTATCATAGTGGTACTACAGTGGTCTCGAAGTTTATTTGATGTGTTTTGAGTATCACATTGTATGTAATTTTGGTATCACATTATGTATCTTGATGTATTTTTGGGTACCATATGGTGTTTGAAGGAATAAGGTTTACTGAAGGCAGGAAGTAGGAGAGATAGATATATAAGAGATAAAAAATTTAAAATACCTAAAACGTACTTTAATTAAAATTTTAAGTAAAATTACAAAAAATATTAGTTTCCTAATTTATCCATTGATTGGTGGTAGAGATTGGATTTCACGGTTATTACAAAGTAACCAGTCCCCCCCCCCC